TTCTCCGGCAAGTGGACGAAATAAACGTTGTTGCTACTTTCGAGAGAGGCGCGAACGTGGGGAGAGAGAACGCGAGCGGAGGAGGAAAAGTCGCGTTAGAAAGGACTCGCGTCGGCTGAAAAGAAGAAACGATCAAAGGAGAGAAGGTGGAGAGAGAAAAGTTTCGGACCAGCGGCGAGTGAAGGTGGCCATTATATTCGATACACCTTAACTCTTACCGCTTAATGGCAATTCTCTGTCAACGTAACCCAAATTGGCGGTTCGGCGACAGCCAGTTTCGCAAGCTTTCATCCGGCCAACTAATGGCTTCCGTTCGAAGAAACAAAACTGGGCAAAAGGGACCGTAAGCGTTTGTACCGTTCGACCGTACTAGGGTCCTTCTCTATATACACTCACGTTCGCGAGTATTCGAACGCGAAGGAAATTTAAACAGTCGTTACAACGTTATTAAGAGAATTAAGAGAAATTATTCTGTTTCGAATCTCGTAGTGCAAAGTGTACTTTAATACTACTACCAAATGATTCATACTACACTCGTAACTCCATTCGTAAAAAAGAGGCAACGATTAAATTTTCCGTGTTTCCTTGCAATTCCTTCTCTAATCAGTACGTAAATTCACTTTTTCTAGATAAGTGTGACAGAAGTATTTTCCTTGCAACTATGGTACGATAAAAGTGAATAAATTTAAAATCAACTTTTTGCAAAAATAATTACTCGCGAAGGTTGCTTAACAGAAATATATATTTATTTAAATCAGATAACGCTTAAACTAATTTTAAAGTGTAGGCGACACGATGCACGTAGGAAGAATGTCCACGACAAAAAGGCTCCCTTTTTCCCTGGGAAAGTCCCAGGAAGTGGCGGCGCGGGCCTACATTGCCCAGGCAATACTCTTGTCCTCGCCAGGCCTTAATATTCAACTTAATATTCAATGCTAAAACTTGGTAATAAAGTCGATTTTCTTATTAACGAATTTCAGATATCTACGACGACATGTAACTTAAATCATGTAACAAGTACCAACGTCAGCGCGGGTCAAAGTTCAATCAACTAAATATAATTCATCAGAAAAAGCAAAAGGCTATAAATACCGAAGTTTGTCATTTTTCACGCGTTTTACGACACTCGTAATCTCTCTAGCCGTCGTTTGCACCAACTTTTAATTTGCAAATTAAGAAATCGATCAGTCGGACGTCGATTTAATTCACGGACGATTTATTCCGTTGACCGGTTCAGTTTCTGCTTTATAAATCAGAGGCGAAGTCGTAAATACGCGGGGCAACGATTGAGAAGAGAGAGAGAAAAACGAGAAATACATTTCCATGACGAACGACCTATAATTGCAGCCGGGCGGCGATCCATCGAACGGCCGGTACAAACGCGCGACAAGAAATTGCTCCCCGCCGCGTCTCTGAATGTACAATCAGCGTGCATTATGGATGCGAAACGAGAGAATCGTTACCGGGCGGCGAGCATCGAGCTCGTTTCGTTCGCAGATTCGGTAGCGAAAACGGTGGCTCTGACTCCGGAGCTCTAAAGACGCTCTAATAAGGAGACGACGATATTCGAGGCATTTACGATTCGCGACAAACCTTCCGCTTCGGTATACACACGCGAGGGGAAAGAGAAGTAGAATGTTCCAATTTAGTAAATTGCGAAGGAGAGAGAGAGAGAGGGAGAGGCCTCCTTTTGCTTAGCTCCGCGCGTCCTATCCCCCTT